TGTGTGTGTGTGTGTGTGTGTGTGTGTGTGTGTGTCTGCAGGAGTGCCTGTGTGTGTGTGTGTGTGTCCGCAAGAAGTCCCGGTTTCCACAAGGGAGCGACAATGCGTTTGTGAACAAGTGCGGCGAGCAGTTGAAGCAGCACAGGTCCAACGCCTTCACGCCCGCCCGGTCATCCCGTGATCTCAAATTCACCGTCAACCACTTTGCTGGCCAGGTCCGCTGATGCCAGTGACGATGGTGGTGATGGTGGTGATGGTGGTGATGGTGACGGTTTCAGTGGTGGTGATGTTGTCATCTGTTTCCTTGTGTTCCCTTGTCCGCTGTGGTTTGACTGCATCGTGCAGCGAAACATGTCTGCCACTTGCCATCACGCCCTTGCTGCTGACAGCGCCCACCGCCCTCACATGCTGCTCTTGCTCGAAATCACGCGCTGTCCCTCCTCCTCCCGTTACCCCAACCCTTCCCCCCAACAAACCAACACACGCGCGCGCGCAGGTCACGTACTCGTGCGAAGGGTTTCTGGAGAAGAACAAGGACAAGTTGGCCGACTCTGTCGTGCCAACACTCTTGCAGAGCCGCTCGGAGTTTCTTGTTGCGCTGTACACCGCACAACGCGACATGGCTTCCGGCTTCAAGGTCCAGAGCAAACGCAGACAGAGTAAGCAAAGCGTGTGCTAATGAGTGCGTAGGTGAAGGTGTTGGTGTAGGTGTAGGTGTCGGTGTAGGTGTAGGTGTGGGTGTAGGTGTAGGTGTCGGTGTAGGTGTAGGTGTATGTGTAGGTGTAGGTGTTGGTGTAGGTGTTGGTGTGTGTCTGTGCCGTTGTTGTCAGCACTGCCGTCACGATTCCCTTGATCCTTCTTGCAAGTTACCTTCTCCATCTTTCTCCATCTTCCTCCACCTCCTCCTCACGTCCAACACCCACTCTGTCATCCCACCGTCTCCTGTTGTTGTGGTTGTGTGACATTCATTCACAGGCCGCTTTTTCCGAAAACCTCAGGCAAATCTCGCCACACTCTCCTCCTTCTTCCTCAAATCCCTCGACGAACTCATGTCTGCCCTCAACAGAACAATGTGCGCACTCAACACCGCTGTATGTGCGTGTGTGCGTGTGTGCGTGTGTGTGCGTGCATGCATGCGTGTGTGTGTGTGTGTGCGTGCGTGCGTGCATGCGTGCGTGTGTATGTGTCTGTCTGTATCTGTGTCTGTGCCTGTGTGTGTGCGTGCATGCATGCGTGTGTGTGTGTCTGTGTCTGTGTGTGTCTGTGCCTGTGGTGATGACTGAATATGTACTCATTGCTGTGTGTACTCGGCTGGCGTCGCGTTACAACTTGCCTGCCACCCCCTCACCCTCTCACGATGTACACCTGTGCACATGCCATCACCACCTTCCTTATTCGCGAACAACAATACCCAATCAACCACAAACTCCCGAACTACACCACCACATCCATGACGCACTATCTGCATCAAGGCCCCATTTTGTTCGCTGCATCAAGCCCAACACGGACAAGAAACCGCATGCGTTTAACAGCAAAGCCGTTTCAAAACAACTCAAGTACGCCGGTGTCCTGGAAACTGTCCGGATTCGCCAGGCCGGATACGCGGTCCGCATGTCCTTTGAAGAGTTTTGCAAACACTACCGCATCATCTTCTGCAAAGCCCGTAAGTTGCTCACTCAACAGTACAGAGTGCACTCAATGCCCCCGCCCGTGCGTGCACGTCTGTCTGTCTGTCTGTCTGCCTGTGTGGAGTCCTGAAGTTATGTTGTTGCATGCAAGAACATTCTCCGTAGTTCACGTGTAATGCAAACCCCACATGTACTCTGCAAACCGACCCAATGGCAGACGAACAGCCCAACACGGACGCGGAAACGGCGCAACGCATCTTGACGCTGGCTGGACTCAAGAATTACCGCATCGGCACCAGCAAGGTTGGTCCGCCCTTTGTGCGCACTTGTCTGGGTGTTCAGTTTGCTTGCTTGCTTGCTTGCTTGCTTGCTTGCTTGCTTGCTTGCTTGCTTGCTTGCTTGCTTGCTTGCTTGCTTGTGTACTTGCGTTGCTGCCTGCCTTGTGCACGCCTCACCTCATTTCTCTTTGCACCAACCATCCATCCTCGCCCTCCCCAAATTCAAACACAAACACAAACACAGGTGTTTCTGAAGTACAACCACATCGACGAGCTGCAACTTGCCATGCGAAAGCACGCAGAGGCGTTGAGATTTGTGCGGAAAGTGTGCAAAGGATTCATTGCGCGCGTGCGATATCGGGCAATTCTGGCAGCAAAACGCGAAACACTTGATGCTGTTGCCGCATTGCTGACCGCCTGCGAGGTACGCTGTGTCTGTGTGTGTGTGTGTGGTTACCTGTGCTGGGGAGTGTCAGCACAACCTCAGTGGCTTCGTTGTGATGGACTTGCTCGCTGCATCACTGTCATCAACCACAACACCGTCATTGGCACACTTTGATGTCACACACACACACACACACACACACACACACACACACACACACACACACACACACACACACACACACACACACACACACACATACACACACACATACACACACGCTGCTGTTACAGGTGCACCGCGATGCCATTGGAGAATTCCGGAAGAAGCGGCGCGTGCTCGATGTGCTGCTGGAGGAGACGATGGATGACGATGAGCGACAGGGAGTACTGGACCGAATCGCCGCCATGGATACAGCCATCGACACGTGAGGCGACCTGCTTTGCACTGCGCTTTCCAATTCAAGAACAACGCATGTGGCACCATCGCTCCCAGTGACAAGTATACCTCACTCACTGACACACACACACACGTACACATGTAAACGTGTCCGTTCGCCTTGGCAGGGAGCTTGAGAAGCTCAATGATGTACTGAAGACCAACGACGAGCTGCGCATGGAAATCAAGAAACTCAAGACACAATTCGACAGACAGGTGTGTGCGTGCGCGTGTGTGTGTGTGTGTGTGTGTGTGTGTGTGTGTGTGTATATATGTGTGTGTATATATATGTGTGTGTGTGTGTGTTTGGAGCGAGCTGTTTGCAGAGTTGTTGTGTCTGCTTCAGCAACACACTCGAGAGACGCCATTGCCCCTTATTTGCCAACTCACCTCCCCCCCCCCCCACACACACACACACACTTGCACCCGCACACTTGTACAGGAGCACGAAGCAGCGCATGGCATGGGCACGTACGATGAGGATGACGTGGAGGATCTGTATGCCGTTGAGCGCAGCGTCGAGGACACGGTCTGTCACACTGTGCACTTGCATTGCCACCACCACCACCAACAACAACACCACCAACTTAATGTAAACAACAACTTAAACAACAACACTGCCACCATGTGAAACCTACATGCCTCCCCCACCCTCACCACCACCGCCACCACCACCGCCACCAAACCAGATCCCGCGCAAGCTTGACCCCGAGATCAAGAAGCGGCTCTCTGTACATGCACTGAAACAGGCAGATGCGCCCAAGGAATACACGGACACGATGCGAAAGGGATTCTTTGGAACGCTGTTTGGCCGGCGCAAGAAGCACAAGTCGCACAAGAAGAAGAAGAGCAGCTGAGGCAATCAATAGGTGCCGCTGGTCATTGTGTGTGTCACCAACACGAGTTACTGTTGCGTGTGGTTTAATGGCTCGGTTTTTGTTTTGTTGTCGTGGTTTTGACGCTGCGGCACTTCGTGCTGCAACTCTTGTTCCTGTGCATACCACACCCACCACAGCCACACACGCACACCCAAGGACAGTCATCATCTGTATTTTGGCACAGACGAAGATGCACCTCTTCCCTTTGCTCCTTCTTTCACTCTTTGACACGTGCGTTTGTCAATGAGAGAGACTTCTGTCATGTCACGTCATGTCATGTCATTGCTGGATCGAACGTGCACGCCAGCAAGCAAGCAATCAAACAACCAATTCAATCCTGCTCATCGCCAACAACCGCCAGCAAAGCCACAACCACACCCCCACCCCCGCATGACAGTCTTACTCGTCTTCTCGTTCCAACACAACGAAGTGGGATCAATGAATGTACATAACCAAACAACAGCCACGCGTTGCATACTTTGACACTGGCGGCAATGTGCTGTGCTGTTGGGTTGGCTGACGCAGTTGCGTGGAGAATCGTGTGTACTTATCGAAGAGACACAACACAGCACGCGGGACCAGTTATGCAGCAGGAGGGGAACACAGGAGAAGGGAGCAGAAGAGAAAGGGGTAAAAGCAAAGGGGGGGGGGGGACAAGCAAGCGTCATTGGCAAATTGGAGCAGAGAACAAGAGAGAAACAACATCCAAAAAGCAACAACGTCCGGGGGGGGGGGCTGGTACGCTACACGCCACCAGCAAACAATTGCAAACCAACCCAATCAACAACAAAGAAAAACGAGACAAAAACAAAAGACGACAAGATCACAGCGAAAGACAAATGCCAAACAGCAAGACACGCACGGTGTCGGGCTGTTTGGTTGATTTTTCGCATCTTGCGCGCAGTGGTGTCGCTGGCACTTGATGTTGACGGGTGTGTTTGGTTCTGGTTGTGGTGGTGGGTTGTGGTGGTGTGACGGATGGTGGATGAGGAGTAGCAAGCAGGTGCCGGGTTTACTTGCTGCGGCGCTGGATGGCATCGCGCACGCCTGCCCCATACGCAGGGTCGCAGCGGGAGAAGTGCTCAATCTGCTTCTCCATGACCTCCTTGGACACGCCCTCCATGGCGTCGGCAATGTTGTTGAAGAGGCGGTTGCGCTGGTCCTGGTCAAACAGGCGGAAGAGGTTGCCGGGCTGGGTGTAGTCGTCCGGGTTCTTTGGGACGGGGCGGAAGGCGTCGCCCTCGAGCTTCAGTGGCGGCTCAAGCATGCTGTTGACCTTGGCATCGGGGTTGAAGTTGGCGTCCTTGATCTCGCCGAGGGACATGTGGCCGGAGCGGTACTGCGGGCAGAAGATGGGGCAGCGGGCGCGGTTGACGGGCAGCTGGTTGTGGTTGATGCCGAGGCGGTAGTTCTGGGCATCCATGTAGGAGAAGATGCGCATCTGCAGCATGGGGTCTGGGCTGTGGCCCAGGCCGGGGACGGTGTTCTTGGGCGCAAACGCGGCCTGCTCAACCTCGGCAAAGTAGTTGTCCGGGTTGCGGTTGAGCTCGAGGAAGCCGAGCTCGTGCAGCGGGTACATGGAGTGGGGCCACACCTTGGTGAGGTCAAAGGGGTCAAAGGGGCACGCGCCGGCCTCGTCCTCGGTCATGACCTGGACGTAGCACTTCCAGCGGGGGAAGTCGCCGAGCTCAATGGCCTCGTAGAGGTCGCGCTGGGAGCTCTCGCGGTCGCCGCCGACAACCTTGGCGGCCTCGGCGTTGGTGTAGTGCTTGTGGCCCTGCTGGGTCTTGAAGTGGAACTTGACGTAGAAGCGCTCGTCGTCCTTGTTGATGAAGCTGTAGGTGTGGCTGCCGTAGGCGTTCATGAAGCGGTAGCCCGTGGGGATGCCGCGGTCGGACATGAGGATGGTCACCTGGTGCAGCGACTCTGGGTGCTCGGACCAGAACTTCCACGCGGCCTCGTTGCTGCGCATGTTGGTGCGGGGGTCGCGCTTCTGCGTGTGGATAAAGTCCGGGAAGAGGGATGGGTCACGGATGAAGAAGACGGGGGTGTTGTTGCCGACAAGGTCCCAGTTGCCCTCCTCCGTGTAGAACTTCATGGCGACGCCGCGCACGTCGCGCTCGGCATCGGCGGCGCCAAGCTCACCGGCGACGGTGGAGAAGCGGATGAAGACCTCGGTCTTCTTGCCAACCTCGTTCAGGAACTTGGCCTTGGTGAACTTGCTCAGGTCCTGCGTCACGGTGAAGGTGCCGAATGCACCGGAGCCCTTGGCGTGCACAATGCGCTCGGGGATGCGCTCGCGGTTGAACTGCGTGTGCTTCTCGACGAGCTGCCAGTCCTGGAGGAGGAGCGGGCCGCGGACGCCGGCGCGCAGGGCGTACTGCGGGTCAGCGAGCGGGGCGCCGTTGATGCTGGTGGCGTAGGGGCAGGACGGGCGGTCGCCCTTGCCGTCCTCCTTGTTGGGAAGGAGGGCCTTGATCCACTTGAGCTGCTCCTCCTTGGAGGAGGCGAGGAAGTAGAAGGTGCGGGTGCCCTTGACCTGGGTGGTGATCTTCAGGCAGAAGGGGCCCACGGGCTTCTTGGGGGCCGTGGTGCTGGCATCGGGGGCGACCTGGCAGCCGGGCTTGACAGCCTCTGCGGAGGTGATGGTGCTCACGAGAATCTCGCCCTTAAGCTGGCCGTTCTGCTCCGTGTAGTAGCGCAGCGCAGTGTCGTCCAGCACAAAGAACCTGGACTGCCACTTGCCGGACTTGTAGCCGAGCTTGGTCAGGTAGCCGGAAACCTACACACGAACAAATAGAAACGGAGAGAAGGAGGCGAGGAGTCAGAAACGTGTTTGGGAGGGGGGATGTGGTGAGCAGGGGGTGGTGGACACCAATGGTAATGAACAGTGGTGGTGGTGAGCAGTGGTGGTGGAGACCGGTGGTGGCGAATGGTGGTGGTTGAGACCAGTGGTGTTGGGCAGTAGTGGTGTTGGTAGCTCGTGCGTCAGTGATGATCGTGGTTTGCGCACCACTCCTTTGCTTGTGATGACAGGCGCGCCAACTCTTCAAACAACAAACACAAGCACGCCACTGTTTGCAGCCAACACGTACTGAACCACCACCAAACATGCAGCCCAACAGCACGGTCGACGCGATCGACACAGCTTCCCCACACGGGTCCCTAACCCTCTCTCCCAACTCATCACTCACGGTGGGCATGGCTGGTGTGTTGTTGTTGTTGCGCGAGAGAGAGACAGAAGGAGATGCAACACGAGGCACAGGCGCGTGGAAAGTGTGCAGCAAGATGCAAAGAAGGGCTTGCTTGGAGGAAGAAGGAAAAAAGCACGCCCAGCTGGACTCGTCCGATTGCCGAATATTATCGAATGTTTTCCACAGAAAAGCACGTGCGCATCACACGATCCACCGCAGTGTATGTGTGGTGCTGACGATGATGATGATGTGTGATGCAGGCTGAGCGTGTATGTTTTCATGTGCATGCTCTCATGTCGTGCGCCAACTGCTGTACTCTCCTCTGGCACGACGCACAGCCCATGCAGCCACGCAAGACGAGACGGTCAAATTATTCATTGAGAGTGATTGAATGTGGCCAGCAGTAGTAGTAGTAGAAGAACAACAACAACAACAACAACAGCAACAACAACAACAACAACAACAACAACAACAACAACAACAACAACAACAACAACAACAACAACAAGAGAAGAAAGGGTGGGTGACGGGACACTGGGACACGTGGTGTGACATGTAATTGATGTTGGAGGAAGAGCTTGACTCAAGCACGCGCGAGCAGGGAGGCCTTGTGTCATGTTGCTTACATGGCATGTCAGCTGGAACGCAAGCGTGGACAGCTGAGCTGCATGCACACAGAGCGACACAAACAAACACAAGCACACGCCACATCAGGCCGGTCTACTTGCTGATGTTGGCAGAGTACTTCTTCCACAGCTCATCGAGCGTGGCCTCGTCGGGCTCCGCCTTGAACATGTTCTTGCAGAAGTTCTTGAACTTGCTCTGCTTCTTGGGCTTGTTGGGCGACGCCAGCACCTTCTTCAGCATGTCGTTAACCTGCAAAAATGCGTGTGTGCGTGTGGTGGGTGAGCGACGATGGAGGAGGTCATGCAATCAGGCGCATTCGCATCACTTCACGCACACACACACGCATATAACACAGCAACACAACGCAGCGACACAATTCCACAACTCACCGAGAGGCTGGAGCCCTCCTGTCACAAAGAACGCACAAGCCACACACGTGGTGAACAAATTCAAAAAGGGGGTGAGAAAAGAAGACATGTGGACATTTGGGCATTTGGTGTGCAAGCACAGGCAAGGCGTAGATGCTCATGAAAGCCACAATCCATGTGTTGACCCACAAACGTGGTGGCCACACACGCACATGCAAAGTACAACACACGCACATACATCACACGCACATCACACACACACAAAAAAAAACCACGGGCATCTACGCCACCTTCTTCGCTGCGGGGGTGTTGGCAGCCGACTTGACGGCCTTGGCGGCCTTGTTGTTCTTGGCCGGGGTGGTGGCAGCGGACTTGGCCTTCTGCTTCTGCTTCTTCTGTGGGGTGGCCTTGGTCACAGCCTGCTTCACCTTGGTCTTCACATCCTCGTTGTCATCTACAAAAGAAGAAAGAAAAGAGGCACAACACGCGAGTGAATGCATGCGTGATCAACATCAACAACAAGGACAACACAAGGGGCCAGCCCCAAGTGCAGTAGTGTGGGGCGCGATGCTGCGGAGAAGGGCACCATCAAGGCGTCCTTGCCACAACGCAAAACATATGTGTGTGTGTGTGTGCAAATGTGCAGTTTGTTGGTCAAACTCAAGTCAGCCCAATACGTGCAGCCGAGAGGGGCGTGAGGTGTGGCGCAAACCAATGCGTCCAAAACAAACCTTCGAGGTCAAAGTCCTCGTCCTCTTCATCCTCATCCTCATCCTCATCTGGACAAGCCAACCAAAACGACCAATGGTGAAAAGAAGGTGGGAAGACAAAACCGGATACATGCCAGCTCATGCGCATGCCAAGACAACAATCACCCTCACGACGACGACACAAACAGTTCACCCGAGCATCATCATGCTTACCCTCTTCCTCCTCCTCCTCTTCGTCCTCGTCATCCTCAATCATGGCCTTGGCCTGTTCTCACGCGAGAAACAAAAGGAGGCATTTGCAACAAAGCAGAACACGTTGTGACATTACGTCAACGCAAGAAACCCCCGCAACGCAAGCCATCACATCGCTGTCATGGGAAACACAAGTTCCCCACAACCATCTGCATGACACAGGGCAACTGAAGCGAGAGAAGACACGAGAGAAGACACGAGAGAAGACACGAGAGAAGACACGAGAGAAGACACGAGAGAAGACACGAGAGAAGACACGAGAGAAGACGGGCACTTGTGTGCAACTTACCTTCTTGGCGGCAGACTTGCCCGCGCTTGCACCGCGCTTGCCAGAGGACTTGACGAGCTGGGGAGCCTCTTCCTCCTCATCCTCGGATTCCTCCTCGTCCATACCCGTCACATCCTCAATGCGGGGCACTACGGGAGTGTGTATGTGTGTGTATGTGTTTGTTTGTTTGTTTGATTTTTTTTTGTTTGTTTGTTTGTTTGCGTGTGTGTTTGTGTGCGTGTGTGCGTGTTTATGATTAAGTTGTGTGAGAAGGCGATATCAATCATCTGCGAAAGCCAGTGGACATTGGCGCGCATCGGGGGAGAATGTAGATGCACAGTGACACGACAGGTGAGAGGCCGCTGGCTGGGCAGAGCAGTCAGTTTCGGTCACTTACGGTTCTCATCATCGCTCTCCTCCTCGTCCTCCTCGGAAGCGACGTACGACTCGTCAGAGTCGAGATCCTCATCGTCAGAGTCATAGTCCATCAGGCCGGTGGAGATGACCACGTTGCCAATCATGTGCACGGGGCCCTTGCCTGCATAACACGCGTGTGTAGTGGGTTGGGGGTTGGAGGGGGACAGGTTGTGCGTGAATGGGTTGGGAGCGGAGAGTGAATGGTGTGGGCAAGGGAATAGGATGCCACACCACACGCGGCAAGTGAAGCCACCTCACACGTGGGAAGGGAAGCCACCTCACAGGTGGGAAGGGAAGCCATTACACAAAACACGAGTAGACAGTACATACACATGCGTGCACCACACACTAAACACCCAAAACACAGACACGCGCACACCACACGAAACAACACACGCGCGATCGCAAGCAGTCGCTTACCGCGAACGAGGGAGAAAGAGACGGGCTCGTCGAACACAAGCTCTGTGTTGAACTGGTCGACAGTGCCGGGACGAAGGTGGCACACCTGGAACTTGACCTCCTGCTCTGGGAGCTCAACCTGGACCTGCAAGGCGTCAAAACAAACATGTGTTATTGCACTGTATGCCTTGTAACCCATGGCCTTTTTGCTTTGTTGCACAGGGAACACACGGTCCATCAGTGGAGAAGATTGTGCAGTGCAAGGTGTGTGTGTGTGTGTGTGTGTGTGTGTGTGTGTGTGTGTATCTGTGCCTGTGTCTGTCTGTCTGTCTGTCTGTCTGTGTGTCTGTCTGTCTGTCTGTCTGCCTGTCTGTCTGTCTGCCTGTCTGTCTGTGTGTCTGTCTGTCTGTCTGTCTGTCTGTCTGTCTGTCTGTCTGTCTGTCTGTCGGGTGTCGAGTATGCACTGTGTGCATGGACGCACCGTGACAACGTCGTCCTTGCAGCTGGAGTCGACTGTGAACTGCTTGATGACGAGCGTCTCGCCCATCCTGCCCTCGGCGAGCTCCTCCTCCTTGGCGTGGAGGGTGCGACCTGATCCACAACACGACAAACAAAACAAAGGAGAACAGAACAATGCGCACCGTAGTGAGATATAGTTGCGCGCACACGCACATGCACATGCAAACACACATCCGCACACGCGCAAATCAACACACGCAAACCTACACCCACACACACACACACACATCCATACACACGCAAACCTACATCCACAAACACACGCACATCCACACACACACATACACATCCACGAACATACACGAACACACATCCACGTCAAAGTCATGTCTGCAACCGCGAGAGCGACAAAACGCAGTGTGGTGTGGTGTGACGTACCGAAGAAGACGGTCATCTCAGCGGGGACGTCGACGTCACCCTCATCGCTGGAAGGGTAGTCGTACTCAGCCTCGTCGCTGGAAGGGTAGTCGTACTCGTCCTTGGTGAGAGCCATCTTTGTATTGGTGATGTGAGCGTGCGTGTGTGCGGTCGCGTGCGTGTGGCAACGAGGAGCTGAGACGTTGTTGGTTGGCGAGAGTGGTAGGGGAAGTGGCGCGAATCAGCACTGAAACCGACGAAAAAGCCGTGTGGCAGTGGCACACGTGTTGGACGAAAAACCGTGAAAATTATTATTGTCAGGTGTGAGATGATTCCATGCACAATTACAGCTGCTATTTTTTGCGCTGCTGTGTTGTGTGTTGTTTGTGTTTTGGCTGTGAGCAAGAAGCGAGGACCACTGTGCACACCACCCACGAGTTGTGTGTGTGTTGAGATGTCATCGACTGGGCTGAAGATGGGTGGGCTGGAGGAGTGGACGACGGAGCAAGTCGTGGAGTTTGTCAAGTCCATCAAGGATCCCCTCACGCCAGCAGACACCACGCGCGTCGTCGAAAAGGTGTGTGTGTGTGTGTGTCTGTGTGTGTGTGTGTCTGTGTTTGAGATGCTGGATTCGTCGCTCCTGTGCGTGTGTGTGTGTGTGTGTGTGTCGCAAGATCGTTGAGGGTGATGTACATTGTCCACGCAGACACAAGCAGACACACACACACATGCTCACGCTTCTGTGCACACACTTCTGTGCACACACGTGTAGGTGGAAGCAGATGGCGTCACGGGAAAGCAGTTGGTGCGATGCATGAACGTGACGCAGTGCCAGGACATTCTCGGTGCGTTGTGACTGGATAGATGAATGAATGCATGAGTGTGCTCGGAAACACCCTCCCTCAACTGCAGCAGCGCTTGCAATCATGCACTCGCGTTCAAGGGGAACGTTCTTGGAATATGCACACGGCCTCCATTCCCTTGTTCCGGCCCTCACCTGCCAAGTGTTAACAACATGCGCATGTCATTGAAATTTTACAGGGCTGCCGATTGTCAAGGCTGGCGCGGTATCTCGACGCGTGCGCAAGCATCTCCCTCCAGCAAAGGCCCCAAGGAAGCAAGCCCAAGGGTGCGTGAAACCCCCAAGGGGAGCATGCGATCAGTGTGCAGCTGCCCTGAGTGAGGGGGAGAGGCGGGGTAACGCTCCTACCGTGGTATTGTTTGAACTTGTCTCGCTGCTCACACACGCACAAGTGCTCACACACACACACACACACACACACACACACACACACACACACACACACACACACACACACACACACACACACTCGCTCCCTATCTTGTGGCTTTTCTCCAGAGAGGAGACAGTGCCCACATTCGAGCGGAAAGAAGTTCGTCAGCAACACACCCAGCATGCGTTCCCGGAACTTGATACGTCACGCCAATGTCTATCTTTGCAAGAGTCGCGTCACTCACCACTGTTTGTATGTCTGTCTGTCTGTCTGTCTGTGGGTGTGGGGGGGGGTACAGGTGTCTGAAGAGCCGAGCCACCGCTTTGAGCCGGACAAGGCAGAGCCAGCCGATCTTGACGCAGCAAGCCTGCGGAACGTCAAGTGCGAACAAACGAAATGTGCACTTACCTGCATCTGTGCTGTGCTGTGTGTGTGTGTGTGCGCGCGTTGATGATCGACTGCGTGCGTTGCCTGCATTTGTGCTCACGTCTGTGGCATCAAGCAATCAACCACACCGTGCGCTCACTCACACACTCTCTCTGTTCACCAGGTTTGTGCATTGGAGTGCTGGTGGACTCGGCAGCACAGGCGTCTTCTTTGCCGACGTTGGCACAGGTGACATGCGCACGCAACAGAGTCAGACAACATCAAACCTTGCCTTGAAGAGCACGACAAGTGTGCTCGCATCAATGCACACACACACACACACACACACACACACACACACACACACACACACACACACACACACACACACGCACACACACACACACACACACACACACAAACCACCACCAATGCGCGTGCCTCAGGATGGGTCGTTGCGAAACCGACGGGCACGGAGACGGCGGGCGAGATCTTCGCCACGCTCCTGGCAAAGCAACTCGGCATCCGCTGCCCCAACATTCGCACACTCGCATGCGCTGACCAAGAGGTGCTGTGCGCGCGCGTGCGTGTGTACGTGTGTGTGTCTGGGTGTGTCTGGGTGTGTATGGTGTGTCTGAGTGTGTCTGAGTGTGTGGGTGTCTTGTAACGTTTCCTTTTTCCCGTGCCTTTCATTCCTTTTTCCGTGCCTTTCATTCCTTTTTCCGTGCTGTGCGTTGGCTCCAACCATTGGATGTGCCACCAAATGCCCACACCCACCGCTTCCACCCTCACCCTTCCACCATCTTCACCTCTTCCCCTCGCGCCGGCAGGATGTTCTGCGCGCGATGCGATTTGCAAACGGAAAACAGGAGCACACCCAACGCCTCCGCAACCACCGCATCCAGGTCCGGATTCGTGTGTGTCTGTGTCTGTGTCTGTGTCTGTGTCTGTGTCTGTGTCTGTGTCTGTGTCCGTGTGTGTCGGTGTGTGTCTTTGTCTGTGTCTGTGTCTGTGTCTGTGCACCTTGTTCTTCTGTCTGTCTTTTGTCATGCTGTCTCTGCAGCCCGCTCGCCACCTCTGCACAAACGCCTTCGTTCACTCACCGAACAACACCAACACCGCGCGACAGGGCCTGGTGTTTATGGAGCTGGTGAAGGGCTACCCGCTGCCCGCATGCGCAATGAAGGTTCTCGCAGAAAGCTCAGGTGACATTGCAGCCACCAAACATCGTGGCGTGTCTGTATCTGTCTGTCTGTGTCTGTGCGCGGGTCTGTCTGTCTGTCTGCGTACTCCACCACAGAACGCACACACGCACATTTCAACATTCGCTTCCACTCAATCTTGAGCCAACGAACCAACCACCAAACCAGCGAATTGACACGCGCGCACACATACACACGCACACTCTCATCATCATCATCATCATCATCATCATCATCATCATCGTCATCGATCTACCTCTCATACACTCCAATCACATGTGCAGGCCCGAATTTGCTGCGGCACGAGTGGGGGAGTGGTGGTCCTTTCATTTGGACAAACTTTGGAAACATGGAAAATATCATGGTAAGCAGCGTGTGTGTGTGTGTGTCTGTGTGTGTCTGTGTGTGTCTGTGTGTCTGTGTGTGTGCGATTGGGGGCGTGCTTGGTTGCAGCGGTATCTGTTGAGAGATTCATGAAGAAAATGAGGGAGGTTGGAAGATGGTGAATGTGTTTCGACACACAACAAGTGAGATGTGCTGTCTGTCGTGCTTGGTGGGTCGTTCATTGCGTGTGCACATGTGCATGGCTGCGGCAGGTGCAAGGGCGCGTGAAGGAGGATGACGGCCAGCTGAGCATTGCTTGCATCGACCAAGGTTGGACCAGTGTCCTTGCCATGTGTTTGAAGGACGTGCCGTAAAGTGTACTGTAGTGGCATGAGGTTTGTTGTGGCGACGTGCAGCCGTCGCGTGTTTGCCCTTTTTTTTTTTCTTCTTTTTTTTTCTTTTTTCTTTTTCTTCACGAGCCAACAACAACAACAACAACAACAACAACAACAACAACAACAACAACAACAACAACAACAACAACAACAACAACAACCGAAATGAATGACGCCCCGCCGTCGCAAGGCACAACGTGCATCACAAACGAGAAAGGGCGTGCATCATATATGGAGCGTGTGCGTGACGGCGCCCACGCCGCGTGTGTTGAGCGAAACGTCGACTCGAAGCCCTTCAAGCGCCTTCGTGATGCAATCCTCAACGGGTACGCGCACGTGCGCTTGCACTGCTGTCGTGTTGTTGTGTTGGGCGTTTGGTTGCAATGATGCTTGGTCGTCAACATCCATCTTTCCGCCTCAACTCACGGTTTGTTTGCCTGCCTGTCTGCATGTCTGCGGCTCGTGCTGTTGTGTGACCTGTCACCAAACCGCTTCAATTTCCACCACGATAACACCCTGTGGTAGGACGGGCCATGACGTTGGGTCGGAGGGCTGCCAGCTGCTGATGGAGGGAATACAGAGCGGATGTGCCAAGCTGCACGCGATGTTGCAGAGCAAACCGTCCATCCTCGAAGACCTGCTCATGCAGACTGGACACGCCGTCAGCGACTTTGGTCCGAGTACCTTTTGTGTGTGTCTGTGTGTCTGTGTGTCTGTGTGTCTGTGTCTGTGTCTGTGTCTGTGTCTGTGTCTGTGAATTTGTCCGCCTGCCTACTTTCGTCTTCGTCCTCATCGTTGCCTCCTTCTCTTCCCCATCCCCCTTCCCCCCCCCCCCTATGCTCACGTTCGCCAGGCGAGCTGGCGAGTGGGATTGAGCGGTTGGAGCTTGCGTTTGTCCAGGAGACGGCCAGCATCATTTGCAGCGTGTACGAGGCAAGCGGCCTCACCCAGTGATGCGACACGACAAAACCGCACGTGCAAAGAGAGGGAAGAGAAGAGATAGTATGTGTGATGTGATGTTGTGATGTGATGTGGCACCATGCCTGTTGTTTGCTCGTTTTGGCTGTGATGTTTGTTGTTCTTGCTGTGATGCTGATATAAACGGTGTGATAGACGTGACTCCTAGAGCAGTAAAGAAAGGGGTCACGTGTCATGTGCACTCGCCAACACAACACGACAACGTGGGCAGCAGACACAAGGACACAACGTCCACCACCACCCAACCGCCACTCTCGGGCGACATCATAAATTGCATCCAGCCAACCACTCCACAACAGCAGCGGCGATGCGGCTGAACGCGAAAGAGCTCATTGTGTTTGCCAAGACGTGCCCCCGCGTGGACAAGCGGGGGTACCTGTACAAGCGAGGCGTGTACAACACCCAATTACGGCGGCGATTCTTCGTCTTGAAGGGGAACCTCCTCTTCTACTACAGACGCCAAGGTAAGCGTCGTTGGGGGGGGGCACCTGCGTGTGTTTTGGCAGTGTTGTTGTTGTTGTTGTTGTTGTTGTTGTTGTTGTTGTTGTTGTTGTTGTTGTTGTTGTTGTTGTTGTTGTTGTTGTTGTTGTTGTTGTTGTTGTTGTTGTTGTTGTTGTTGTTGTTGTTGTTGTAGTTGCTGTTGTGTACGTTGACGTGGACAAACACGCACACAGGTGCACACGCACATGCGCACACATGCACACACACAAACATGCACACACACATGCACACATGCACATGCACGCACACCCGCTGTTGTTCGTCTCATCCATATGTCCACTGCCTTGGATGTACGGCAACAGAGGACGATGAGCCGCTAGGTGTGATCGTGTTGGCTGGGTGTACGGTGGATGCAGGCCCGCGCGTACCCGAGCTGGGCCTGTACACCTTTGTGATTAACTTTGATCTCTCTTCTTCCCAACAACCCACCCGATCCTTCGAACTCGCCGCAGAATCAGGTGCGTGCGTGTCTGCCTGTGTGCTTGTGTGTGTGTGTCTGTGTGTGTGTGTGTGTGTGTGTGTGTGTGTGTGTGTCTGTGTCTGTGTCTGTGCGTGTCTATCTGTCTGTCTGTCTGTCTGTCTGTCTGTGCTCTTGTGTGTGTTGTTCAACCTCATCCTCATGTTCACACGCTCGCGTGTCCGTCTTCCTTCCCTACACACATACACACATACACATGCACACGCACGCACAAACCCCAAATACACGCACACAGACAAAGCCATGTTTGAGTGGATCCAGGCGATACAGTATGCCAACTACGAGATGCTGCGGGTTGTAGTGGAGGATCTGAAGGCGCGCGTGGAGGCGGCTGAAACAGAGCGCGCGATGGCCGGGCACCGCCCGCAGCCGCAACAGCAGGAAGGGCAATCCGAGGCAGGGGAGGCGGCGTTGTCGCCCGTAGCGGAAGCGGACGAACACGAACAGAGCTCGCAGCATCACATCTCCTTTGGTGAACGTGCACACAGTGCGGGTGACACGCACGCAGCAAGCGCGGCGCGAGCACACCTTGTGGGACAAGCCAGCAGCGGGCCACACGCATCATCCATCTCAACATCATCGCCAACATCATCACCAACGGGAACGGGATTACCGCCACCCGGCTCCACACCGCCAGCCATCCCACGCCCATATCACGAGACGATGATGTTCAAGCAGCGAACATCGTCCAGGACCGGCGGATAGAGCCGCCGCCACTGCCTGCTGTTGATGTGTGTGTGTGTGTGTGTGTGTGTGTGTGTGATGTGTGTGTGTGTGTGTGTGTGTGTGTGTCTGTCTGTGTCTGTGTGTCT